ATCTTATTATAATATTATAAATGTCATATGGCAAGCTTCTCTTTTTTTTATTCCATTCGGACGGGGTCTGTCTACAAGCATGATCAAGAAAGTATTTTTAAATGTACTGTGTATATTCCTATTTTTCTTATGATACATAAAATCAACGTTTGACCACGATCCCACCTATAGTTAAGTGGTAATGTGTAATTGTTATACTAGCTGTAAAGATTTGACTAAAATATTTTTTACTAAACCTATTAATAGAATTGAGATTAATTAATTGTGAATTTGCAGGTGACACAACCGGTGTGGGGCCCGTTGGCTCGGTAGGAGCGGTGGGCTCGGTGGGCTCGGTGGGCTCGGTGGGCTCGGTGGGCCCGGTGGGCCCGGTGGGCGTGCTGGGCAGCGCGTACAACACGCTGGAGGCGGGCGGGGGGTGGGGCGGCGCGTGGGCGTGGGGCGCGGCGGGCGCGGTGCGACCCCCGCCCGGCTTCTCCGCGCCGCCGCGACCGCCGCGCGCCTACGACCCCTTCCATTCTCTCGCGTCCATCTGGGCGCCGGGCGCGGCCGACTGGCGCTACGAGCCCGCCGACGCGCCCTCGCCCGCGGCGCCTACAGCGCCCACAGCGCCGACAGCGCCCGCCCCGGCCGAGCCCGAGGAGCGCTAGCGCCCGGCGACATCGTGCGTCCAGTGGCGTCGTATTCGTTTTGGGGAGGTTGCGCGGCCGCGGGCGCACTAGTCAACGCCCCGGCGCCGCCCGCGCCCTCCCGCGACCCTCACACGATATGTTGTTTATGTTTATGTTCCTCAAGTTTCCCGAGACGAGTTCTTATTATAAGTAAAGCGTAAATAAACTTTTTGTTTTTGTCAGACATCTTTTCTTTTATTACACACAATCCTCTTCAATGACACGAGAGCGATGTTGCAGCGAACTCTTTATAAGGATAGGTTCCCATTGGAAGCTTTTATCAAGTGAAAAGCGGCACATCAAATTCTTTTAGATTGTAACAAGTTATTTGTGACCCTATTCCAATAAACTACCACTTTATTTCTTAATTAGATGTTGCTGGTGTTTTCGTTCGCGCAGGAAATAAATATTCTAGTAATTAAAGTCTATGTTACTTAGTGATAACATAGCTATTTATTTGTGAAAAAAAAAATTGAAATCGGCCCAGCAGTTTTTGACTTCAATACATACAAATATTTTCTTATAGTTTAGAAACTTATTAATCCGGCAAATCTATAGTTACATGTAATAAAATTGGACTGATTATAATTATAACAGATTATATCAAAAGAAGAATTTCGTATTTCGGGAAGATAATGAATTAGTGTTGATGATAATGAAAATCGATTTCTATTTTTTGACCGACTTCTCAAAAGAAGGAGGTACTCAATTCGTCTGTATGTTTTTTTATGTGTGTAACGGCATAACTCCACCGCTAGTAGACCGATTTTGATAATTCGGATTTTTGATAAAAAAAAAAAAAATTCTTTTTTAATTCCGCCTCTAACGAAGTTTGCGGGCGATAGCTCATGCTTAATATTTCTTGAAAATGGTGAAGTTGTTTCATTCATGTTTTATTGTTGTCATAGTTTGAGTGATTAAAAAATCATTACTAATGAATATTACTAATACTTACTATATTTTTAATTGATTCGCCGCAGTTTCGCTCGCCGGGACACACACCAAAATAAAACACAAAGTAAAAATATGTAATCTTTATTTCTCACTTCTTAGGCATTTGGATTGCCCGAATATTCTAAAATTAAATTTACACCGACTTTTGTTTTTTTAATTCTCACTTGTACACTTTGTATGAAACAAAATAGAATTCACCATTTTCCATCGGCATAGGAATATGCTTCAGTCATAACGGGCACAGTTTGTGTGTGACTGTGTCCCACAGAGTTGTATTGTGTTGTTGTTGGGGACACTTCAGTATCGGTATTTGGTAGAGTAGTCTTTGGGCGAGACAACGAGACCGCGGCCTTTGCGCGCGCCACGGTACACCGTCTCTATGATATCGATCATCTCCTGCTTGTCCTCAAGTGGCCAGTTGATCTTGTTGTTGTTGCCGGTGCCAAGGTCGATCATGATGTGTTTGTTGCGGAAAAAGAACATCACCGTGCATGGGTCGTACAGCTCGTACCTGCAACGGAACCAAATATTGCAGATATAAAAGAGCACATTCTATCCTACTTTTCAATTAAAAGTTTTGTTTTAGTCATTAAACTTCATACATAGCTACCAATACAATATAAAAGATTTTGGAATTTACAATTTTTAGCTCAACTTGTTGTTTGTCTATGCCTAATAAGATTTTAATTTTCATTTGAAACAACGTTATGTGTTTTAGAGAGAGGCATAATCATGACTTCTTTACATCTTACAAGTTCCTAGTTAGAACATCATATGGACTAAAATGAATAACATAATTTCAATTGGTTATTATATGTTAATAGTGAACCATCTGAACCTTGAATATTATATACAGAACCTACATTTTGTTGAAGTCTGGTACTTCAGTTATGTCCACAAGGTATATCACAGCAAAGTTCTTAACCTTTTCTGCAATGCTGTACAACACTTCATCCATCTTCATACATGTCGGGTCCCAATCGTGTCCAAAGCGGATTACCTACACAAATTCAATATAAAATGTTTCACTTAAAAATTACTATCATTTTATGATTTCTGAACTTTTAGGAGTTTAGCAACAATACCCACCACAACACGGTCTTCTTCAGACAAGATAGCTTGGTCCACTTGCCACCCATTATGCAAATGCCCCAGCATGTAACTCATCTTGAGATATGTTGGACTTTCTCGTTTACAATCAAATTATACTGCAGACTATTTGAATGTGTTCATCTATCTCGTCGATGGGAAAAGGAAGATTTCGTGAATCTTTATACAGGACACACATCAAACACGAAGTTAAATTAAGGCTTTATACCTATTTGGTGTAAGTTTTAGAATAGCCACTAAAGAACAGAACACATTAATCATTCAGAATGATCAAATCAACAACGATAATTGTTATTGGTGTTTTCCTTATATCACTGTCATTTATCAATTGTCAATTGTCAAGTTGTCTGTCAAAGTCAAACTATAGTCTGTAAGCATATTTTGGCACTTTTTTAACATTGACAGGAGGCCGTCGAGCATTTAGGGTTACCAACAAGGTAGTGTTTCCACATTCAAGGAAAATCCTTCCGTTTAGAAAACGAAAACGCAAATTGTAAAGGAAGTACTTGTATCTTACAATGTAACTAGAAAATCAGTGCTTATCTAGAGAATAATAGAAATTTTAATGATTGTTGTTTACAATCAACGCACAGTTTAAATTATGTGGTAAGCAACGTGGTTTGAACAAAACGATAAAATCATCAGACAGTTTCTTGTTTTATTTCTGAGTTTACACAGTAATTTGCTTAATACGCAAGTAAAAGAGTATGGTAAAAACCAAAATCCTTGTTTATTTTATGTCATGAAGGTAATACTTCCAGTTGCACAAAACACATTACAACTAAGGATTCGGTCACTGCATTTTGAAATGAATGGGTTATTTATAAGTCAAGTAGTGTTTAACAATTTTTTGAAATGGCAAAACTAAACATATTATACATGCTACATTCCCTCCTCCGTCGATCAAGGGTAGGCAACGCATCGGCTATTGCGAATGATTATGGGCATCGGTCGTTTCGCCATTTTAGCGGATACAGGTGGCCGCTTGCTCGTTTGCCACCTTATGAGATTAAAAAAAAGCTTAACAAATAAAGGATACATTGAAATGAATGAACAAAACTTTATAAAAATGTTTATTTTAACAAATAAATTATATTTAATGGCAGGCACGCGCAGACTCATACAACATAGTCAATGTAAGTATATTGGTATGGTAGGTACATTTTTGAAACTAGATATTCTCCAAAAAAATTAAAGGTAGAGTTCCAATTCAAACTCGAAGGATTTTCATCGAAGGCAAATTAAGTGCAAACCGCACTGTTAGCGTCGCTTTCCCTCCGCCCTAATAGATGGCGCTGTGGTGTATTTTCACGCAACTAACAAAAACTACAAGCCAATAGCAGCAAAGAATCAATATCGCCGTTGTAGCGGTAATCGTTATCCAAAGTCTTGATTTTGAATTGAATCGAAACAATAAAATAAAGTTACAATTTTTATTTGTAACTTTAAAAGAGCACACAAGCGACGAAGAGCGATAGTAACACAATGCAAATGTATGTAGTACGGTCTACTCGTTGGATTTTGACCTTCACTTGGTAAGCCTCGAAAAATGTGTATAACGGGAATAAGATAGTTGATAAAAGCTTCTAAAGGCTTTTTCTCTTTTATAACTCCAGCTTTAACAGTTTGGGAGAAATTGGAATTGTACCAGTAAAGCCCACAATACACCTTCAGTTTTAACTTTAACGAAGTCGAACTGTATAGTTAAAATAGTGCAATTATAACAGAAGATGTGTTGCGAGCTGTCTTTTGACTTTTTGGTGATGGTCGTTGGTCCATTGGGTTTTGGAGTCGAGTGCAGTTGAAAGAAGATCGATGCCTTTGTTAGCATTGCATGCACACGACATATTAAAGTCAACGGCCCCGCGACATGCGACGCGCACTTGATTTGCGAATTGTTTTACAATTCGTTAACCATCGAGACATTCGTCTAATTTCATTGATCGCATTACGCCGTACAAAATCTAATATACCAAAAGTGAACGAAACTTGACGTGAGCATGACGACTGCTGGGCTGAGCGTTTCTTCTTATATCTACCTCCGTACCTCCGTACTTCCGTACATCTGCGCCTCCGCGATCACTTCATTGTAAATATTACATTAATATCACCTATGCGTCGCGCGCGCGTATACGTCTTCTGTATATAAGTATATAAATATATACACGGCTAAATCTAAATCGCTTCCTAATATCTTAAAATTGTTCTAAATAAATATCATTATTCCGGTAACAATATAATCCTTACAAAACACTTATCTACACGCTATCATTGTAATACTGTACAAAATATAAATTATTTATTATAATTATGTGACACGTCGAACTGCATCACACTGCATGCGC